GCAGGGGGTAAACTGCCACAGAGGGTGGGCCTCTACACCCTGCTCTGCCATCCCTGTCCCCAGCTAGGCTGGACCTGGGATCTGGGCCTGGGGACAGCTGTGCACATAGCAGCTGAAACTCCCATGTTGGGGGAGGTCCCGGCAGCAGGGCGTTATTTTGGTCTTGGCTGCCACCCTAGCTCCCGTTTCTCTTGGGAGCCTTGTGTTGGGGGGTGGGAGGGCATGAGCAAGAAGACAGAGGGTGGGGTGCAAGTGGGTGCGGTATGGGGTGGGTAGGCCTGGCTTTCTCCCCTTCATCCAAGAGATGAGCCTTTGAGTTCTATTTCTGTTCCTTCCCACCCTCCTCCTTGCTTCCTCCGCTGTCTTCCTGGAGGGTGAGAAGACACTGTCAACTAGAAGGCATCGCTTGATGCCACTGAAGGCAGCCTTTGCCATGCAAGCCCTCCTCAAATCCGGAGGCAGGAAGATAGCTAGGATTTGGCTTTAGGCTCCTTGTAGCCAGGACAGCAGGACTCCTAAAGTCCGATCCCAGAACTGATCACTCACTGTACTATCTCTTGAATCTGCACCCAGTCACTTGAAGGCAAAGCCTTCAATAGGGAGTCTCAGCAGCTCAGGCACCTGTGAGCCTGTGTGTATGAAGACAACCTCCACTCACCGCCCCCCCCCCCCGCCCCAACCTCCCTGGCAAGACGCACAAGGTGATTCATCTTCTCACCCAGGCAGAAAAACAAGTTCAACTGGACACTTTAATCTCTCCCCTGCTGGCAGGCTGGTTGCCAGCTGCTACCTGGAGCCCCCTAGCTGAGGGGCAGCTTCTCCTATTTGAGGACTTAATGGGAGGAATGGCACATCAGCCTGAGGGTTAGGCAGGCTAGGAACGACAGTGCATCTGGGGACCCTTTTGGCTGATAGTTGGCACTGGACAGGTACACAGAGTAGTGTGTCCTCGTGGCAGGAGTTTCGTGGCATACCTTCTGCCAGCTGCTTCTGGAGTCTTGCCCCAAGAGGAGGGTGAGCGAGCCAGTGTAGGAACCTGAGGAGTGTCTCGCCCTGGTCAGGATCTGAGCCAGATCCCCTAACTGCTGTCCTAGGCATTTCTTCTCCGTATGGATGCTTTCCAAGGAGCTCTACAATGATGAGCAGGCCTCTGGCTGCCCCCATGTCCCAGCAATGACTCCAGTCAATCCTGTTTGCCCATGTTTTGGGTAGCACTGTGGGGGCAGTTTTCCTGATCAGGGAAGTTGCCATGTGGATGTGTCGGATTGGCAGGAGAATGCCCTGAGTTTGTGTGCGTGGGAGACACAGGGGTATCCAGAGGGGTCTGATTCATCATCGCCTCTCTTCGGGGATTTTTCACCCTCAGTTCTGGGACAAAGGGAGGCTTTCTTTGCCCGCTGAAACCCAGTATGGGTGGTAAGCCCCAAAGGGCTGACACATTAGAGCCCCTCTGGCTGCCCAAGGTGGCCCTGCTACAGAGGGCCTCTCTCTAGCCTGCCAACTCTTTCCCAAACAGGAGAGCATTCTGCTCTAGGCCCTGTGGATGCAGAGGTGTGGGAGGAAAGGCTGTCAGCCATTCTTTCTCCCTGTCTGAGGTGACCTGACTCCAGGGAGAGAGTGTGGAGGAGGTGACCAGATTAGAGCGGGTCACGGCCAGTGTCCTGACCCGAATCCTCCGTCCCTTCCATCAGTGTGTACTGGCACAGACATGAAGGTGCGACTTCCTGCCAGTCCTGAGACCCACCTGGACATGCTCCGTCACCTCTACCAGGGCTGTCAGGTGGTGCAGGGCAACCTGGAGCTTACCTACCTGCCTGCCAATGCCAGCCTCTCATTCCTGCAGGTAAGACCTGGTCCTGCCAAGCCTCCCGAGTCGAGATGTCTGAGGAAAGGGGAACCCCTTCTCTGTATTCTCTCTTGTGGTTCCTCAATCAGGAGTGCCTTTCTGGTAGCTACTTAAAAGCCAGTTGACTCCCTCTGCAGTGACTGGCCGTGGTCCAGCTGTCCTCAACACTATTACTTTAGGGCTGTAAGTTCCAGGCCCAGCCCGGCAGATGTGGTCTAGACCCTTAACTTCTCCAGGCCTCAGTTTCTCTGTATATTGGACTAGCAGACATCCTGGCCCACCATTGTGAAGAATGCTAGAGAATCTTTATGAGGGAGAGTTATTTGTAGGAGAGAGAGGAGTCTAGCCCGCTGGATTGTATCCACAGACCCTGGAGTAAAGCCGCAGGGAACAGACATGGGTCTGTTAAATCACAGATGCTATCTTGTACAGGCCTTGCTTTTCAAAGATGATACTGAGACCTGCAGAGAGGTGGGGGCACTGGCTTATCAGTCCTGATCAAACTGACAAGAATCTGGTGAGGCCAGTGAGGAACAGCCTAGGGCTCAGGGCTGCTCAGTGGTCAGTGGGGCCTTGCAGGACATAGCCTCAATCCTGGGCTACCCTTAGGCTTTACGGGGTGTGGGTGCTTCTCAATCCCCAGCGGCACCTCACAGTGCATCCCCTTCCCTTCCCGCCAGGACATCCAGGAAGTTCAGGGATACATGCTCATCGCTCACAATGGAGTGAAGCACGTTCCGCTGCAGAGGCTGCGCATTGTGAGAGGGACCCAGCTCTTTGAGGATAAGTATGCCCTGGCTGTGCTAGACAACCGAGATCCTTTGGACAACGTCACCACCGCCGCCCCAGGCAGAACCCCAGAAGGGCTGCGGGAGCTGCAGCTTCGAAGTCTCACAGGTGCATTTGCCGTCATTGTGAGCGTTTCCTGGTTCTTGGTTGCTGACTAAGTCCCTCTGGCTGTGGAGGGGCTCTGTGAGGATTAGAAGTATGGTTCCCTCAGGCTCCAGGCAAGCAGGCTGAGCCTCCTCATCTTCATCTCTGTGAAGATTAGAAAAAGAAGGTTGCGAAAGTGGCTCGGTGTCAGTGCTTGGTCAGCATGTGCATGGCCCTGGGTTTGATCCCCTCCTCTTCAGGAAGATGCAGCTTACATCAAGTCCATGATTTCACTACTAGAGATCAGGCTGTTTTTTCACTCCATCTTGGCCATGTCAGAGTGAACAACCTGTGGTATTGTATATGACAGCCCCGAGCTGACGGTGTCCCAATTAGGGTACCTGGTCCTTTACATGCTGGATCCCACAAGCTACAGACCTGGAAATCCGGCTACTAAGCCTTCAAGTGTCTTGTTTGTTTGTTTGGGTTTTTTGTTTGTTTGTTTTTGTTATGTTTATTTTGGTTTTGTGATTTAGAGACAGGATCACACTACCTAGTCCAGGCTGACCTTGATCCCAAAGCAGTCCTCCTGCCTCAGCTCCCTAGTGCTGGAATCCTGGGCATGTCACCACCAGCCTTCTTCATTCAGTGTTAGCCTCACTCCACAGAGGAGAAACCCAAGGCATGCAGAGATGCAATGACTTGTCCAAGGTCACACAGCCAGTCAGTGGTGGAGTGGGATTTCAGGCTTCAGGGACGTTTTTGTTATTCTTGTGTTGGGGATTGATCCTAGGTCTGGGGAAGGATGGGTGCTTGCTCTACCACTGAGCTATACCCCTGCCTCAGAACCTCTGTTTACCCCCACACAGTGAGCACAGAGTGAGGGGAAAGGCAAGCCGGGGGCTCCCAGTCACATGAACACCTCTGCCGCCCCATCCCCCTGTCCTAGTCCCCAGTTAATCCTGTGTGTGGCTGGCACTCACAGGGAAGGCAGGAGCCCCCGAGGGCAGTCAGGAGGGGGTTGACTATTTGCCTTTTCCACAGAGATCCTGAAGGGAGGAGTTTTGATCCGTGGGAACCCTCAGCTCTGCTTCCAGGACATGGTTTTATGGAAGGACGTCTTCCGCAAGAATAACCAGCTGGCTCCTGTCGATGTGGACACCAGTCGTTCCCGGACCTGTAAGCCATGTCTATGGGATAGCCCACCTGACTCAGCTACCCTCCCCCCCATTCCTGTCCTTGCTCGGGTCACAGGGTCACCTCCCTGCCTGTAGTCAGGACCTCCACCTTCTAAAGCCTCTTTCCTTTTTGGGTCCCCCCTTCCTGTGAATCTGCGGTTGGGTTCTGCTAACATGTTCCTCCTGCGAAGCCACCGTTTGCTTTTCCCTGCCTCCCTCAGCCCTCCTTTGCTGCCTTTCTCCTCTGGACTTCCCTCCCTCACTGCTTCTACCCGCTTTCCCTGCCTCCCTCCCTTACTGTCTCCCTTTGCTTCTGTCCACAGGTCCACCTTGTGCCCCAGCCTGCAAAGACAATCACTGTTGGGGTGAGAGTCCTGAAGACTGTCAGATCTGTGAGTCGGAGGGAGCCTTGGTGTCTGGGGGGTGGGGTCGGGGCAGGAGGATGGCTGGGAATAGCAGAGTGACTTACTTGGGAGATGTCTCCCAGAAGGCCATGGTGCTGAGGGTCTGGTGCCCAGGCCCTACCCAGCCCTCATCCTGTCCTTTCACCAACAGTGACTGGCACCATCTGTACCAGTGGCTGTGCCCGGTGCAAGGGCCGGTTGCCCACTGACTGCTGCCATGAACAGTGTGCTGCAGGCTGCACGGGCCCCAAGCATTCTGACTGCCTGGTATGTGCTTCTTGCTCCTGTGCTCCCTGGGCCAGTCCTCCAGGACGCAAGGGGTGGGCATCTTTCCTGGCCCTGCCCTGATGCCATTGGCGCACAGGTGGAAACATCACAGTGACCACCAGCGGCCTGTCTCTGCCAGGCCTGCCTCCACTTCAACCATAGCGGTATCTGTGAGCTGCACTGCCCAGCCCTTGTCACCTACAACACTGACACTTTCGAGTCCATGCCCAACCCTGAGGGGCGCTACACCTTTGGTGCCAGCTGTGTGACCACCTGCCCCTGTGAGTACTGGGAGGAAACACGTCCTTTTGGTGCCTGGGTCGGGGAAGGTGGCTTGCATAAAAGGGAGCATGTCGCAAGTGTCCTGTGCCCCTTGGAGGGCTGGCCGTGACTCTCAAGTCTGGGTGACTTATCCTTTTCCTTTTCTCTCTTTAAAGTACGGAACGCTTCACAAATTTGCGCATCATCCCTGTGCAGGGGCCGTGCTAATCTTCTCTGCATTGTACCCATTTTAGTGTGTGTGCTGCCGAAACCAGCACCTTAATTTTTAAAAAAATTATTTTATTTATATTTATTTTATGTGCATGCATGTTTTGGCTGCGTGTATGTTTGTGCATGTATGTTTGGTCAGAAGAGAGGGGATTAGATTCCTTGGAACTGGAGTTACAGGTGGCTGTGAGCCCCCAGGTGGAGGCTGAGAACCGAACCTGAGTCCTCTGCAAGAGCCATCTCTCCAGCTCTTGTCGTTTTCTTGTTTTGTTTTAGGCTGGGTCTCTCTGTGTAGTCCTGCTGTCCTAGAACTTGCTGTATATAGCAGGCTGGGCTCAAATTCATAGAGAACCTCCTGTCTCCGCCTCCCAAATGCCCCACCTCACCTATCTCCCCCAATCCCAGACTGTAAAGTTAGGATCTCGAGTCACTTAGCCTGGCTTGCCTTGAACTTACCACAGAGCCAAGAAGGACACTGAACCTCCGGTCCTCCTGCCTTGCCCCTCCCCGGGGCTGCGATTACAGGTGCATGCCACCACTCCGAGGTTTTTATCTCATTCTGTTTAAGAGCTGCATAACAGGAGGCAACAAGAGAGCCCAGACTTACCGCTGGGCCTCAGTTTCTTCACCTGTAAATTAGGGGCACTATTTGTCCCATCCTAATAATTGTGTAACGTCTGAATGAGTTAATATTTGTGAATCTTTGAGAACAATGTCTAGTCTGTACTAAATGTGTCTTGTTCCTCTGTCTGCATAGAGTATGGCTTTGTGTGGCAGTAACCCTAAGCGCTGTGGACACTTAGGGTCTGGACTTGAACCTGGGCACCCTCTTTTCCTTCCTCTTATGGAGGTGGAATGGGGCCTTTAGGGTCTGGCTACACTTCTCTTTGGTCAGGGTGAGAGCACAAAGTGTGTGGGGGGGTTGTTTGGTTCAAGTCCTGGTTCCTGGGTGGCACAAACCTGTCACCCTGACACTTGGAAAGTAGAGGTGGTGGGCTTAGGGGTCCAAAGTCATCCTCAGCTTCATAGTGAGGACTCCTTTAAAAAAATCCAGTTCTGTTACTTAGTAGCACAGTGATGGGTGTGATTTGTATAACTCCGTGCCCTGATTTCCCTTTTTGCAAAATGCAAATAACAGTGTTGTCCGAATAGGAGGGTAGTGAGGGGCAAACGATTGTCCTGAGTTCAGATGGGCAGAAAGGGCCTTCCAGGATCGGTGGGTAGGTAGTGTTCTTAGAACAGGGCATCGTAGCCTTGATCATGGTTGGCTGGGCGGAGGCTAGGGCACATGAATGTGTATTCCCAAATCTCTACAGACAACTACCTCTCTACGGAAGTGGGATCCTGCACTCTGGTCTGTCCCCCAAATAACCAGGAGGTCACAGCTGAGGATGGAACCCAGCGGTGTGAGAAATGCAGCAAGCCTTGTGCTCGAGGTACCCATCCCATTCCAAGACCAGCTGCAGCCCCAACTGCCATCCCAGCCTGGTCCACCCAACTTGTGCTTAGCCGACTCCTGCTGTCATTGCCTACCCTGCCCCTCTCCAAATCAGTCTCCTGAGTTTCTCTTGTCAACATAGGGAAGAGGCTTATCACGTCACGCGGGGACAACAGACAGGTCTCTGATATGTCATGTGGTTCTGAGGTGGCCCCTTTCCCCACCCTTTCCTTCAGTGTGCTATGGTCTGGGCATGGAGCATCTTCGAGGGGCAAGGGCCATCACCAGTGACAACATCCAGGAGTTTGCTGGCTGCAAGAAGATCTTTGGGAGCCTGGCATTTTTGCCAGAGAGCTTTGATGGGTAAGGGTACAGAGTGGCCTGAGGTGCTGTCAGGGAGGATCCAGAGTTTGAGGCCAGGAATCCACAGGAGGCAGATGGGAGGCTAGAGGGAGCCAGGAACATGGAGTGGGAGGTTACTTGTATAAACCTCATTGCATCCATAGGCAGGGGTATAATGTGGTGATCAAACCATCTGGAGTGGGACATCGTTAAAGTTGTGTGTGTTCCTCCAGGCCTTCTGTATATTGGTGGACACAGAGTGACAGCTTTGACTAGGGGAGGTAGTTCATGGAAACTGCCATGTACCCCTTGCTTTGGGGAACTGCACATGACGGTTTTTGTTGGGGTGCCTCTTTTTTTTTTTAAATTATTTCATTGGTGTTTTACCTACATGTATGTCAGTGTGAAGGTGTCAGAAGCCCTGGGACTGGAGTTAGAGATAGTCGTGAGCTGCCATGTGGATGCTGGGAATTGAACCTGGGTCCTATGGAAGAGATGCCAATTCTTTTATCTGTGAGCCATCTCTTCAGACCTCAAGCTGGCTAATTCTTACAATAGCTGAAGAACTGGAGGCAGTAAAAACAGGCAACAGAACCCAGACTTGGATTTGAAACCTACCTCTCAGTTTGTCTGTCTGTCTGTCTCTGTCTATCTGACTGTTATTCTCTCTCTTTTTCTGTATCTGTGTCTGTGTGTCTGTCTATCTGACAGTTATTCTCTCTGTATCTGTGTCTATGTGTCTGTCTGTCTATCTGACTATTATTCTCTCTGTATCTGTGTCTCTGTCTGTCTATCTGTTATTCTCTCTTTCTGTGTCTGTGTGTGCATGTGTCTGTGTTCAAAGGACAGTTTTAGCTGTGACTCCTCAGGAGCCATCCACCTTGTTTTTCAAAATAAGGTCCCTCTCTGGCCTGGAGCTCACTAAAACAGGCTACAGTGCCGACCAGGGGACCCCAGGAATTGTTTTGTCTTTACCTCTCCAGTGCTGGGATGATTACAAGCTCAGTATCACACATGGGCTGCTGCTCCTGCTTTCTCCTGCTCTTTCCTGCTTTCTCCTCTTCCTCCTCCTTTTCCTCCTCCTCCTCCTCTTCTTCCTCCTCTTCCTTCTTCCTTTTCTTCTTCCTCCTTCTTCCTTCTCCTCCTTCCTCTTCCTCCTTCTCTTCCTCCTCCTTCTCTTCCTCACCCTTCTTTTCCTTCCCCTCTTCCTCTTCTTCCTCCTCTTCCTCCTCTTCTTCCTCTTCCTCTTCTTCCTCCTCCTTCTCCTCCTCTTACTTCTGACATGGTTTCTCTGTGTAGCCCTGGCTGTCCCAGAACTCACTCTGAAGACCAGGCTGGCCTCTAAATCAGAGATCTTCTGCCTGCCTCTATAATCACAGCTTCTGTAGGTGCTGTGATTGCAGTAGTATGCCCAGCTAACATGGGCTTTTTTATGTGGTTCCTCTCTGGCTATTGAACTCAGGTCCCCAGGCTTGCTTGGGAGAGCCCTGCTGCTTAGCCTCATTGCCTTCTCCTCTCCTTTCTGTACCTCATGTGTAAAGTGGGGACCGTCATGGCTCTATGCTCAAGGTGGTTATAAAGTCTGATATAAAGTTAATATTTAGAAAAGTTAAAGTTAATGCTTAGAACAGCGCTTGACAGATGCTGAGCGCCCCCTGTGTTTGTATTTTAGCATCTGTAGAAATCAGGGTTTTCTGTATCACTGATGGATACTAGGTCATTTTCAAATGTCTTTCCTACAAACAGTTTGGCCTGTCCATGCCTCTGGCAACTGAAGCCAGTGTCTATGCAGGATATACCACAAATAAGACTTCTAGATCAAAGGACACAAATATTGCTCTGCTAGACTTTGACCCTATGCTTTGAGTCTTGGGATGGGAAAAGCCAACCTTAACAGGCTTTAAGTGAAGGCATCTGTGGGGGAGGGGGAGTTGTTTGCCAAGGCCTTCTGGGGCTCCTGCCCTACTGACTCCTCCTGATCCCTCTAGGAACCCCTCCTCCGGCCTTGCCCCACTGAAGCCCGAGCAGCTCCAAGTGTTCGAAACCCTGGAGGAGATCACAGGTGGGCTGTCTATCTGTCCTCCTCCACGGGAGCTAGGAGTTCCGGACCTTTCCACATACCCAGCCCCATTCTCTGCCTGCAGGTTATTTATACATTTCAGCATGGCCAGAGAGCCTCCATGATCTCAGTGTCTTCCAGAACCTTCGGGTCATTCGGGGACGGATTCTCCATGAGTAAGTGGGAGGGGAGGGCACCTAGGAAGCCTGGCTACATACCCATGTGGCCCCTTGGTGGCCAGAAATGGGCCTAGAGTAGGCACCTTCTCGCGACTGGAAACCCCATCTCCACAGTGGAGCCTACTCATTGACACTGCACGGCCTGAGCATCCACTGGCTGGGGCTGCGCTCACTGCGGGAGCTGGGCAGCGGACTGGCTCTCATTCACCGCAACGCCCACCTCTGCTTTGTGCACACTGTACCTTGGGACCAGCTCTTCCGGAACCCTCACCAGGCCCTGCTCCACAGTGGGAACCGGCCGGAAGAGGAATGTGGTAAGACAGAAAGCCCAGCACTGAGGGTCGGTATAGAGGAGTCTCAGCAGTCTCCGCCAGCCGCAGCCTCCTGCTGCCTGTGCAAGCCTCCTGCCCTCATGCCCTGTTGTTGTTGTTGTTGTTGTTTGGAGACAGGATCTCACTATGTAGCCCTGGCTGTCCTGGAACTCACTCTCTGTAGACCAGGTTGGCCCAAACTCACAGAGATCCTCCTCCTGTCTCTGCCTCTCTCTCTCTCTCTCTCTCTCTCTCTCTCTCTCTCTCTCTCTGACTCTCTCTCTCTCTCTCTTTTGTGGTTTTTTGAGACAGGGTTCCTCTGTGTAGCCCTGGCTGTCCTGGAACTCACTCTGTAGACCAGGCTGGCCTCAAACTCAGAAATCCGCCTGCCTCTGCCTCCCGAGTGCTGGGATTAAAGGCATGAGCCATCATGCCTAGATAGAGGCCTGTTCTTCACTTGCCTATGGATGGCTTAGCCTTGAGCATGGCTTCCAGCTGTGTCCTTGCGTGCTGCCAGGCATCCACTCCTTCCCTATTTCTTGAATCTGCTTGTCCCGACCGATCCCTAACCCTTCAGCCCAGAGCCATGCTCATAGCCTTTTTCCTTAAACCTGAGCCTCTCCAAACACTTCCGTCTGTCTGCTGCTTTTCTCCTTGCTGCAGGTCTCGAGGGCTTGGTCTGTAACTCACTCTGTGCCCATGGGCATTGCTGGGGGCCAGG